CGTCTTCAGGCTGAGCTGCTCTGTATTTTCATTGAAGCAAAATAGAAGCATTTCAAAAATAACTAAATGTCCTATTCTTCCCTAGGTTGAGAAGGTCCCTCAGTACCAACCAGGGATTCTACACGACAGTGACCCGAACTAAGTGTACGCAGACGCCAGTGTTTTGCCAGGCTGGATGAGTGCATCAACCCAGCAAGGTCACGGACACGACTGCCCAGGACTTCAGTAAAAAACCAGCCAAGTAAGCAGACCGTCAGATCGGTGTAACGCCCAAGCCCACACACTCCCATCTGAGATCAGGAAACTCTGAGACAAGGGACAAATTTAAAACAGTCTTAAAGAAAGGGTGTTGCCCCAATCCACCTTTTGCTTTCCTTCATTCGACACATATTTACGGAGCCAGGAGCTGTTCCAAACACCGATGAGTCAGCGGTGCATCCAACAAAGCCTCGTCTCCTAGAACTTGCCTTCTAGGAGAGAGACCACGGGCAAGCTCTGGGACGGGAGGGTCTTCATCAAGACTCGCCTTCTGTGCTGCCCACAGAGACCCAGGCAGTGGCCTCGGAGCTCTGCACGCCCACCACCCCACACCACGAGCGTGCACCATCCCACATCAGCCAACACCACCAGACCACGGCCTGCGCCTCTTAGTTCAAATATAAAGGCCAGAGGGTGGCAGAGCCAGTGTCACCAGTTAGACCCCAGCACCTGACCTGGACCGCCCACCCGCGTGCACCCGCTGACCTCCCTCCCACATTCTTCCTGAAGCTCTTCTTTCCGGCTGGTCTCTTAACTCGGGCAAAGACCCGGCAGGTGCCGCATCCCGGGACGGACACTGAAACTGGCCCCCCTGCCCCTCGCAATAACCTCGGCCCGGAGGAAGGGCTCTGGGGGCCCGACCACCTGGACCTGCGGGAGCCGCACCCCCGACTCACTGTGCAGATGGACCACGGGGCACGGGCAACCGCACAGTCGCCCTGACCTCGTATAACACTAAGACCCCTGCCCTGGGAGGACACGAGCCGCACGGACATCACACACGACGACTACGTGTCGGCAGGTTTCCTTAAGGCACACGCGTGACTTTACGCCTCTACAGACAATGACAAGGCTCCCCTTCCGGAATAGTCCTCCTGACCCTACATAAAAGGAACCCATCCACCCTGGCTCGGCAGTTGGGACAAGGTATTCCCCTCGATCCCCTTACTGGCTGCAACCCGAGCTTCCTTTGTGTGACAGCTCACCTGGTGCTGCTTCTGTGTGGGACTCACTGAGGAGGGAGCTCACGGCAGCTCAGTTACCAGAGGTCAGGGGACAAGTGGTGGTGGATCAGTGGGGGGCCCCAGGGGCCACGAGGCTCCATCTCCAGATCCTTTAAATCTTTGGAGCCATGGCTCACCAGAGACAGTGGGGAGAAAGGAGCAGAGCAAACCCACCTTCTTAGGCCAGCCTCTCGGAGGGCTATGGGGCAAGCACGTCCCCGCAGAGAAGGCCAGGCGGCTTGCTCTGGGACAGGCCTCACATAGCAGGTTGCCTGACAAAGGAGACCGGCCCACTGACAGGAGATACCAGAGCTTCATAGAGACAGTCTCTTCCCAGAGACTACGTTCCCGATCCACTGGCAACAGCCGTTGCGTAGACTAAAAAAGGGCCACAAGTTGCTTGGCACCCACCATCAAGACAGCTTTGCTGCTCCCTGCTCCCGAATCTGGGTTTGCCTGCAGCTCGGCTGGCTTCGACCCGTAAAACACGGTGGGAGCTACGATGCTTGAATCCCAAGCCTCCAGGCACCGCACAGCCTTCACTCCTGAGAAGGTTTTCCTTACCGTGCAGATAAGGCCGAGCTAGCTCCCTGGAAGGGTGACACTCCACACGGAAAGAGGTGCCAGCCGGGGTACCAGGCACGGAAGACAAGCCATCCTAGACCACCAAGCCCCTTCAGGCCGGCCCACACCAGAAGACCCTCCCAGGCCGACACCCCAACACGCATTCAGCATTTGTTGTTCTAAGCTACCAGGTTTTAGTGGTTCCTTAGCAAAACCAACTGATATGACTGTAGAGAACAGGGTGCTTGGAAGACGAACACAACTAACTCACAAAAATATACTGAATTTTAACTCTTCCTAAAAGGTATGCCTCGGGGGTAACACAAGTCAAAAAGCAGCCCACCCAACTCAGGCATGCGGTCGCAACGCGCTTTCATCTCTGGCGACCTGCGAGGCCTACCGAAAAGGCACAGCCGCATGGAAAGGAACGTGATGGTTACATGTGGTTAACGGAAGCCACACAGAGGCCAAGACAGGCCACCCCAGGTGGGCCACTGGGGCATGAACTCATTTTGAGTTAACAGCAATCAAGACCCAGCGGACTCAGGAAACGCTCTTGACTGCCCCGTGACCTGCCTGCCCGCCCCGGGAGGGACCTACGAACAGAGACGCTTCCCTTCACACAGGCAGCCCCTGTTCCCAGGCCTGTCCTGCCCCCGCAGCTAGTGGTCTGTCTCCCCTTCGTGTCCCAGACTCAACCCCTCTCCTGAGCTCAGACGAGCCTCCTGTTGCCCGACCACGTTTGGAGTTTCCTTGTCGGTGGATTCCCCGTAGGTAGGCCACCAGGTTTGATTCTCTCCTGTGAATCTGTCTCATGTCAGTTCGATTCCTAGTCCGGCCGGAAGGACCTGGAAGGGCCAAGGAGATTCCTCCTCCCTGACACACGTCTCCACTTACTGCAATTCTGAGAATCTCTAAATAGGTTAAAACCTTTACAAAATGCTACTTCTGAGTTCCTGATGTATGATGCGACCCAGACACTTAGTAATGGTGTGTATGTGGGAGGCGGCTTACGTCTTACTTATGACTCGACAATGAATGCAAGCTTTCTTCTTTCTCGGTCCCTGGGTTAGCTCATAAAGACTAGTGAGCAGGACAAAGAAAAAGATGCTTTGAAAGCAAGCTCTCAGTAGTTCGGTTTTTCCCGTTCTTTTCTCCCCGCCCACCCCTCCTTCTCTTTCTTTCTTTCGAGAACTCTGAACCTGCTGCAAGCCTAGACCGTAGTGGGTGTGTTTATCAAAGGATGGCTCCATGGTGGAAAGTCTCATGAGCATTTGGCTGGAAGAGATTTGGGAGCCCAGCTCACCTCCCAGACCTTTCACCCGTTTCCTGCAGGTGAGTCACCACCGAGCGCCGAGCAGAGCTGGGAGCTGCTGCCACCGTGAGCCAAAGGCCGACTGCCGGCTCTCTCGGGGGCAGAGGCTGTCTGTTCTGGACTACCGTCCTGGCAAGGGCTGCCTCTGGCACCACAGGAATGACTTGGGAAGTTGGGACAGACAGGTCCTACCAGTTTTGATTACTACTGCCCTGATGAGATGGTATTTGATTTCCTCTTCAAATAAGAACTTAAAGAAGCATTCAGGGTCCCCGGAGTTCAGATACGATGAATTTATGCACTAGTACTTAGCATCAGACGTTCGCTCGAGCAAGAGAGGCGAGAGAGGACGGGGTGCCCGGGGCCCCAGGCAAGGACTGGAGGGCAGCCCCGCCCTCCAGCCCCCTCACCCCTGCCCCCCCTTCCCTTCTCCCACGCACTGCATTTGCCATTAGGCCCCCTGGAGCCCAGAGGAGGCTTCCTATAGGCTCCTCTCAGCCTGGCCCCCAGCTCAACCATCTCATTTTCTGTGTAGCATCCTGACTTGACAGGTATCTCTAAGCACACATAAACGTAACGTCTTGCTAAACTTTAATTCATTCTCTTGTCCTTTTTGTGACATTAAGAACAGAAAAAACCTTTGAAAATATTACTTTCAACCACTATGAAAATATTAGAGAAAAGAGAACATATCTATGAATTACATATAAAATAAATAATTTTTAAAAAATCACACTCATTCTAATGCTATTTAGAAAAATCAGTGTTTTCTAAAGTACTACGTAGGTCTAAAAAGCATTACTTTAATATATATACACTTATATACTGTTACACTTTTTTGCTATATTTAACTGTTTTTTGCCAACATTATCAGTGCAATCTATTAGGGAATTTTCAATATAAATATGTCAATACTGCTGATACAGAAAAACAAATCCTACACTAATACTGTGCAACACTGCTTGCATATGCACCGGGCCCCCTGCACTTTGAGGACCGCGGCCACCCTGAGAAGGGGAGACTACATTCGCCCCGACGCTTCGGATGAGGAGCTAACACACAGCGGCTAACTGCCCCCCGGCATCCAGGTACAATAGGGCAGAGGCCGTGTGGGCCCAGTCTGTGCTCTACAGCATTCAGCCAGCCTCTCAGAAGAAGAATGGAAAGACCATGTTATATCAGAATTTTATTCTAAATTTTAAAAAAGATTACTTTTTTTTAAAGATTTTATTCATTTATCCATGAGAGACACAGAGAGATGCAGAGAGAGAGGCAGAGACACAGGCAGAGGGAGAAGCAGGCTCCCTGCTGGGAGCCCGATGTGGGACTCGATCCAGGGACTTCAGGATCACGCCCTGAGCCCAAGGCAGGCGCTAAACTGCTGAGCCACCCGGGCTGCCCAGAAAAGATTATTTTTTTTAGAAGATTTATTTTATTTGAGGAAGAGAGAGAGCGCACACACGTACATGCGCACATGTGCGGGGCCTGGGGTCCGGGGGACAGACAGAGGGAGAGAAGCAGATTCCCCACTGAGCGCAGAGCTGACCCGGGGCTCAATCCCACAACCCTGAGATCATGACCTGGCCTGAAATCAAGAGTCGAACACTGAACTGACAGAGCCACCCAGGTGCCCCCATATCAGAATTTTACAAGAGAAACAGGAGAATACCAGTTTCCAAAAAAAAGGAGAAACGCAGACTCACTGTTTCCAAGGGTCTGAGGGTTAGACCCATAGGAAGCGTGACCCTTGGTCAGCTTGATAAATAGGCAAAGTCTGATCAGCAGCATGGAATGTGGTGCGTTATACTGGACTTTTAGAAAGTAGAAGGAAATATTCTTTCGAACATTACACTTCTTACCTCGACGTCAAAGATTTCCACAGTGTTGTCCAGCAGCTTCACCCGGATGTGAAGGTGCTTCTCCTGCATCCTGGCTGACGCCCGTGTCGCTGCTCCCGACAGAGTCTGCCCAGGCTCGAGGGTGCTCACCCCCGCCGGGGTCTGGGCGCCCAAGCGTGTCCCTGGAGTCTGCAGGACTCTGTACGTTCCTTCTATCTCCCCCATTCTTCACCAGCTAACAAGGAAGAGTCCTTTAAAACAAAACAAAAAAACCCCAGAGACATCAATAGTTATTTAGATATTTAAACAATGTAAAAGAATGATCAGACTCACAGAAATTCTCTGATCTCTTTCTGCAACCTCTACGAATCTTAGAGGTTATATCAAAACAAAGAGTCAAGAAAGATTACCTTCTACTCGTACACGGACTGGCGGGGCATAAAATAACAAGCACTGTTCCCAAAGACCGTATATCCTGGTGCTTCTGCGAGCCAGCAGTGCGTCACCTCACCGAACTCACAAAACCGGATCCAACAGCGGCCTGTCCCTTTGTCCGGCTGCCTAGAGTCCCCTGCACAGCCTCCCTCCACCAGCCCAGAGAGTCACTGCGCTGACAACACGCGGTTATGTGCCACGTGGAACATTTCAGCAAAGAGGAGCAGGTGCCACAGAGCAAGTGCCACACACACCAGGCAGCGTCCAGCAGCCCACTCCCCTGTGCCGGGGGGAGGGGGTAAATGCCGAGAACAGTAGGTGAGGACGACAGCCAGGCTGCTCTTGGCCGGCTTCGCACTCCCTGGATTTTTCAGTGGGGTCTTACCAGGTTGGACAGGCGCCATCAGTGACACGAGGCCTGCACACCTGGTGCGAAGGGCACTTGCCCCAGCATCACTTACCTGTCCTCACCATGTCCTTGTTCCCCTCACCACCCACTGCCCTCTGGACGCATGACAACACCAACGGCCCAGCGAGGCATCAGGCCCTTTTCACTCCTTATGCTGGGGTCACAGGAAAGGTCTCTAGTTTTAAGCCACTAAGCTCAACAGGGCTAATCACGTCACTGTTTTTAACAAAGAAAGATGAGGGTAAGTATCAGCTAAAATCCAGTAATACTGGCTCGCTTTTCTTTGTATTAATATAGTTATCTTCTATTTATGGCAAATTTCCTTCTTAAATGTGTGTATTTGTTTTTTTTTTTTTTAACGATTTTATTTATTTATTCATGAGAGAGACAGAGAGAGAGGCAGAGACACAGGCAGAGCGCAAAGCAGTTCCCTGCAGGGAGCCCGACGTGGGACTCGATCCCGGGACGGCTTGTCCTTGCTGGGCAGGCTCTAAGTATGCAGCTCAGGTTGTGTGGCGGTGACTGAGAAGCTTTTAAACTTAATTCAAGAGACAGAAGGTTCGGGGCTCCTGGGTGGCTCAGTTGGTCAAGTGTCTGCCTTAGGCTCAGGTCATGACCTCAGGGTCCTGGGATCGAGCCCTGCATCGGGCTCCCTGCTCAGCTGGGGGTCTGCTGCTCCCTCAGTTCTCTCTCAGTCTCTAATAAATAAAATCTTTTTTAAAAAATATTTTTTTAAGATTTCATATATTTATTCATCAGAGTCAGAGAGAGAGAGAGAGAGGAGAGAGAGAGAGAGAGAGAGAGAGAGAGGCAGAGACACAGGCAGAGGGAGAAGCAGGCTCCATGCAGGGAGCCCGATGTGGGACTTGATCCCAGGACTCCAGGATCACGCCCTGGGCCAAAGACAGGCACTAAACCACTGAGCCACCCAGGGATTCCCAATAAATAAAATCTTTAAAAAAAAGAGACAAAGTTCATGAGATGGTTCTTCTTGGTATCAAAATAAGCATGAAAAAAAAAAATGAAAGGGCCAGAAGACTCAGCTGTTATGCTGGCACACAAGGGACTGGACTGGAAATTAGTGAGATTAATTCTTTATGAAATTTACTACAAATTAGTAGAAGGTTTACCAAAGGCAGGTAGATAAAACAGTTTTTGTTCCATTGTTTCTTGAATAAAAATCTGACATTTGTTTTTTTGACACACTGTGTTTTACTGTTACATTTTCCTTAGGGACGCCTGGGTGGCTCAGTGGTTGAGCATCGCCTTCAGCTCAGGGCGTGATCCTAGAGTCCCGGGATCGAGTCCCACATCAGGCTCCCCGCAGGGAGCTGCTTCTCCCTCTGCCTGTGTCTCTGCCTCTCTCTCTCTCTCTCTCTCTCTCTCTCTCATGGATACATAAACACAAAACAAAACGGAACACACTAAAAGTTCGCTAATATTCATGCCACTAATATTAAACATGGGATATATGAGGTTCTGAGAAGGAGAAGTATGAGACTTTTCACTTCCATTTCACAAATGTGAATAGTTAATGCGAAAGTGAGGGGATGTGAGTGAAGACGACCCACATGTAAGGTGTCTCCAACGTGCAGATGAGCGTGAGTCCTTGGTCTGCTCACAGCGTTTGCCCAGGACTGAGGCACCAGGAGCAAGTCCTTCTGAACCAACTATGGGATGTCTTACCCTGGGCACCAAAGTGATCCTTCCCCTTTAAGTAAAGCTACGATTCTGAAAATATATACACACAACCAAAACCTCTTTTAAGAAGTCACTTCTCTTATTTACGCCACTGTATTATCTTATTCAGATTTTTTCTTAATGATTTTTGATGGAAAAAATTTCTTCAGGTTCTTTCTCTTCTACTCATTATAAGAAAGTCCTAAGCACATAGTTCTAAAACAAAATGGGCAAAACTCACCCGTAGCGCCCAGAGGCCACATGTGGGTGTGCGTGCTCTAAGAGCACGCAAGGAGACTCCGACTAGAAAACTCAGGGGAGTGGTCCCCCTGGGTGGGAGGGGTTCTGTCTCTGAGATGGGGTAATGGGAAGGGCCCTCTGGCGTGGTTGGCATGGTTTTATCAATGACCAGACTGTGTTCCCTTTATAATCCATTAAGCTGTATATATGGTTTGTGCAGTTTTTCTAAATCTGTGTTTATTTGATAATAAACATATTTAAAACAATGTACTTTTAACGTATATTTCTCTCCTAAGAATAAGAGAAATACTAGACAAATGAAAACCACCTCTTGGTCCGTGAGAGGCGTGCCTTCTCAGCAGCAAATGGACCTCCTGGCGACTGTCATCAGGTCCAGCGACCTCACGGTGGCTGAAGCCGAGACTCAGGGCTGTGAGACACCCTGACTCTGGGGGCTCATCGAGGAACTGACGCCACGGCCCCTACTGCTGATGTTCCAAAGAAAAGCCACTTGCTATTGCACAATGGTGACGTGGCATCCGTCACACATTTAATAAGTACTTGGCTTTAAGTTTAAGAAATCTAGGTAAGTAAGGAACTTCATAGAAAACTGTCACGGAACCCCAATGCCACAGAGTTAGCCCTGCTCTCAGCGTCTATCAATCTGCTTTACAACAAGCAGCAGAGCTGGGCTCTTTGGGAGAAACAGGAGGCCACTCACTCAGCAGTCATTCGCGGCAGCCTGGCTGCTTATTCCAGCTGGCCATGGGACAAAATGAAAGGAAAAACGTATGCACCGAAAGAATCTGTTTTACGTAAATTATGACCTAACAGAAATTAGTTTTGCCTCGTGTGCTTACACATAAATATTATAAGTCCAAGAGTATGCAAGACAGACTAGAAACACGGCAAAGCCACTAAGAGCCCTCGACACAGGAGCTGTTCTGCGGTCCTGGGAGCCCTACGTGTAGATGCTAGGCCCTGCTCGCTCCTCCTGCCGCCAGAGAACCTCTCCAGAAATCCAGGGGGGAGCAGTGCCGTGAAGAATCAGGGCCCTACAGGGGACTCCAGCTTGTTTTCCCATCTTCCCTCTGTGTGAATGAAGTCCTTTGCTCTGCACTCTTCATTCCTAAAAATATTTCTGTAGCTGGATACAATTTCCACTACTGACATTTAGTGCTACCTACTACAAACTCAGTTCCTAAACTCATTGAATAAAAAAATTTTAAAACTACCTGGTCACATATTTCCATCTTGAAGTCGGAAAAACATTCAGCTCAAAAGCCAGTGAAGGCTTTGGGGATGATAGGTCAATGTAGGTTGTAACAAAGGTGCTACTCTGGGGGGGGGGGGGTGTTGGGAGTGGGAGAGACTGTATACAAGAGGGACAGGGGCATCTGGACATCTCTGTACCTGCACCTCGACTTTGCTGTAAACTCCACACTGCTCTAAAAAATAAAGGCAACTAAAAAAATAAAAAAGTCTGCCACGGAACACATAACTCAGAAGTGACAGAGCCAGGACTCCAGTCCAGCCTGGACTTGGCCACGAGCCTCCCTCCGTCTCCACTGGAAAATCTGGCTCCCCAGACAAAAGCACAGTGCTCAGTCTGCAGTAAAGGGAGTGGGCTAAAGATGCTGTTGTGCAAAAAAACTCCCACCTTCCCTGAAATATTTTCAGTTGCCTCTTTCAGGAGGAATATAAAACATGTTTATACTGACCGACTAAGGAAGCAGAACACAATGCTTATTTTTGCTGCATTTTTCTAATGTACCTACGACGCACAGCAGCTTCGGCAATGAGGGTCAGATGGAGTTGTCACCCGGCTCCTGGCCCTGGGCTGCCTCTCCTCTTCACACCACACGGCAAGAGATAGGTCCTTTTATTCTCTAACTAACTAGCATGACTGGTAGTTTTTGGAACAAGCAACGAAGTATTCAATCAACGTAAGAAATTAAAGACAAAAACGTCAGAACTAGTGCCATAAGGCAGTGCCTCCAAGAGCTGACAAGGAAGAGCGGGCCCGATGGAGGGCAGGCAGGGCATCCACAGCCATGTGCACACGTGCTGGCCGCACAAACACACCTCTCCCCCAGGACACAGCTCTGCTGGAAGGCGACACGGCTGGAGCACCACAGAAATCGCGTTGCGCACTGGAAGCCTGGGGAGGAGGGTGCTGTAGAGCTCACTTGCACTCGCTGCTCCAGCAGGTGCTCTGGGATGCGGCATCACCTGTGGGAAGCCCAAGGACCGATGAGGACCTCCCTCAAACCCGAGGAAGGGCGGTCACCCACCTCGAGGAGCTCTGGTGTTGGAAGGGCAGCCCACACTGGCAGCAAAGTGTCCCCCGAACTGGGATACACTGTAGGCCCTGTGGGAAACCAGGAAGCGTGCAACCGCAGCCTGGGGGTAGAAGCTGGAAGGCAGCACAGCTGGGATCTAGCTCCAACTCTCACTTCCCCACTCCTGGCCCAGCGTGTATTCTGCAAAACGACAGGAGAAGAGTACGGTCAGATTCTCTTCACTCTAGGAATCTGTGAATCTGGGAAAGACAGCTCAAGGTGAACGTAGACGGGAAGGAGATATGCTCTTGACTCCAACTAATTAATTTTATTTGGTGGCCCAAAGCTAAGTACCTCCTAAAATCCTGTTATCCCATCTTTCCCGGCTAACCACATGAAATAGACGCCACGTGTATGCAAGGAACATCATTTTCAGACAAATTCAACACAGTATAAACATAGATTATTGGTTTAGAGATGACTCTGGACAGAACCAATATTTACAAACGTTTCCATTTTACTTTTACTCCCTAAGTTTTTAAAGGAATTGCCTTAACAATAAACAGATGTCAATAATTCAGACCATCAGTCTTCTGACTTGGTTGTTGTTGTTTTTTTAAAAAGATTTTATTTATTCATGAGAGACAGAGAGAGAAGCAGACTCCTCACAGGGAGCCCGATGTGGGACTTGATCCCTGGAAAGGGATCACGCCCTGAGCTAAGGCAGGCACTCAACCGCTGAGCTACCCAGGCGTCCCTTTTTTTTTTTATGACTATTTTTTAGGTTTTAGTATTTTTTTTTTTTTAAAGATTTTTAAATTGATTCATGAGAGATACAGAGAGAGAGAGAGGCAGAGACACAGGCAGAGAGAGGGGCAGGCTCCGTGCAGGGAGCCCCATGCGGGACTTGATCCCAGGACCCTGGGGTCACGCCCTGAGCCTAAGGCAGACATTCAACCACTGAGCCACCCCGGTGTCCCTGACTTGGTGTTAAACAAAAATCTATTGGCTGAAAAATAAAGTGGTTTTTTTTCTTTGGTTTTGTTTGTTTGTTTTAAATAGGCTCCATGCCCAGAGTTGAGCCCAAATGGGGGCTTGAACTCACCGTCCTGAGATCAAGACCTGAGCTGAGGTCAAGAATTGTATGCTCAACTGAGCCACCCAGGTGCCCTTCAAACATAAGTTTTAAGAGCTGAAACGAATCTGGACTGATTCTTAACACTTTTTTCCTTTGGTATGAAGCTGCCTAACTGAACACCAAAATCTTCACAGACAAAAAGCAAGATTTCTATGCTGCTGCCTTTTTTTTTTTTTTTTAAGATTTTATGTTTTTATTTATTAGGGGGAGAGACTGCACGCGGGAGGGGGGAGGGCATAAGGGGAGGAGAGAGGCAGAGAGGCAGAGGCAGACTCCGTACTGAGCTGGGGGCTCTATCCCAGGGCCCTGGGTTCATGACCCGAGCTGCAGGCAGATGCTTGATGGACTGAGCCACCCAGGTGCCCTGATCTCTACGCTTCCTTAGTGTGAAGGGAATGAAAGAGCTGGAGTAGAAACACATGCATGTGCTTATGTTCCAACAATGGAAGGATAAACCAAGCCTACAGACGGTGGCTGGAGGGAAGGCGCTGGGGACAGAGCACCGGGGACCCCTTCTTCCAGGGTGCAGGGCTTCCTTGGGTTGACCTGGGAACGTCTTGGATGTTTTCCATGATTAGAGAGCAACATGACATCAATGTCTTAGAAAACTCAAACTAAATGAAACATATGATCCTACTGTACATTAAGACAACAGCTAAGCGAATTACTTCAACTGACTTTCAAACTCAGAACCTCACTGCCCATCACTAGTGAAATACATCCTCAGGATTAAAGAAACTGTAATACCACAATATAACATATTCTGTAAGAAAAAAGATCTCATTTCAATAAATGGCACACGTACAAAAAAGAAAAAAAGAGAAGAAAAGGGGGGTGATAAAAACTGGTAAAAGATGTTGTCTGCCACCAACGCCCTGTGGACCTTGTTTGAACCCTGAATCAAGTATCCATGGGACAATCAGGGAAATGTGGGCACTTCCTGGATTTCTATCGGGTGATTTAACAAGTACTGCTAATTTCCTATGTTTTAATGGTATCGTGTGCAGACGAAGGGGGAAAGTCTCTATCTCTTAGAGACATTCGCTAAAGTATTTACAGATGAAGTAGAATAATGCCTAGGTCTACTTTAAGATAATCCACGGAGGTGGCGATCGCTAAAGGGGATAACAGGTCCCCTCCCCCCAAAAAACCAATTGCCCATATGTTGACTAACGGAGTTGGTTTTGATATACGAACCTCTGTGAACGTTCGGAGTTTTCCGTGAGGCAGGAAAGAAAGAAACAATTTTCAGAGTAGGTAAGGACCCAGAAAACCCTGGGGACAGTTGACAGGTGAGAGGAGCAGCGTGTCCACCGTGAAGGCCACAGATCCACCCCATGGAGACAGGCCGAGCGCCCAGTGGCAGATTCTTTACGATTAAAAGACAAAACAGTTTGACACTAAAACAAACTGCACATCTCCGCATGAGCTCACTCCGTCCTACGTCACCTCCACTTTGTTATTGTATTTTTCAGTTCAGTTCTAAAATTCCCACAGGTTTCTTCTTACATCTTTTTTTTTTTTTCTTTTTTTGCTTTCTATCTTTCCATTTGTTTCAAGAGTACCCTTACTTCTCAGGACATTTTAATAACCGTTGTTTTAGTTTTCATTGCAGCCTTTAACAACTTAGCAGCTTAAGGAAAAGCCTCGCATCCTCTCAGCGTCTGAGGGGCAGAAGTCCGGGTCAGTGTAAACCAGCAGAACACTCGACCTCGGGGCTCACGAGGCCTGCGCAACGGGACAGCTGGATGCTCAGCTGTCTGGGTGTAGGACTGAGGCCCCCGTCCCTGCTGGCCCAGCTGCTCTAACGTCCCCTGTTCCTAGAAGCAGCACCTGCGGGCGAAGGTCACGGGAGCCAAGATTCTGCTACCCCAAGTCTGTCAGAGACCGCAACCTCTGCACCACCTTGGGCTTAGCCTGTCTTCTGAGCCGGTGCTGTCCTGGTTCCGTGGGACAGCTTAATGCTGTGTTAGGGGACGCTGGGCCTTGTTTAAATCCCATGGCGAATGCTGCTGTGCTTGCTTCAGCAGCCAGGGGCCTGCCTGGGATCGGCCGCAGGCCGTGCACTCAAGCGTCAGCCCCACGCCCAGAGGCTCCTGCCTGTGCGCCATCACCCCGGGGCCAGTCTCTGTCAGGGTCAGAGCCACACGTGCACGGCCCAGTGCTGAGGTCACTTTCTTGAGCTCTTCTTCTCCCCAGTGTCTCTGCCTGGAGCGCCTGTCTCTCAGTCCTCCAGCCGGAGACCTAGGGCTTTACCGGCTCTGCTGTGCCCGGCCTGTGCCTGCACCCTTGCCTGGGACCGGGGCCCAGGAAGAGAAAAAAAAAGCAACGGGGTTTCCTGACTCGCTCTGGGTTTTAGGTGCCTGACCCGAGGAAGGGAGAGGAAGGGGAGAGAAGAGCGGCCTTCTCCGGGTCTCTCCTATGGCCCAGAGTAGAGGCTTCTCCGCAGCACCGTCTGCTTGCACCTGTGGCCCCCTCCGGCTCCCAGATGCCCTCAGACCAGCCTAGGGAACCCCGGAGGGAAACCAGGAGACTCCTCGCTGGTGCAGTGGCCTCTGTCCCCAAGCCCCCGTCACTACTTGTCAGAGTTCTCAAATCCGGGCTGCATGCAGCCGTGCAGGCTTTACAGCCGTGCTCAGTGGGGGAGACAGTGTGGACTGGGCTTATTCCAGCTTCCAGGAACCAGAACTTGACATTCACGCATTTTAAAACGTGTTTATAGTGGTTATTTTTGGGAGAGAGAATAGGGTTGATTTTTTTCCTTTCTTTTTCCAATGTCCTGTATTTTTCAAATTGCCTTTAGTAACGAGTATGTATTACTTCTGAAATCAGATGGCTTCTCTGCAGACTCCTGCAAGACTACCACCTGCTTTAGAAGCCGTAACCGGCAGCGTTACCCATGGTACATCACTGCTCCCCGCCCACGAGAAAGCGGCAACGACTACGGTCTCTCCTCTTTCTAGAACAGTTCAGTAAAATAAAAACGGTTTTAAGCACTTGCTGGAATCGGTATCTTGTTAAGTTATTGGGACTTGTTTCCCCAACACACACCTTATTAACTACTACTGGGACTTTAATTATGGAAGCGACAAGACAACTTGTACAATTCCGTAGTGTTGCTTCTTCCTTCCCAGACACTCTCGCCGTCGGTGCCTGGAGATGCCGGGAGCGCCTCACCCCGTCTCTGCTGTGCTACCTGGCATCCAGCAACGGGCCAGAACTGCCCCTGCAGAAGCCTCATGATGCCGAAGCTGTTCTGCTTTTGGCTTCGGGGCCCCCGACGCACACTGGGCCCTTCCATGGGCCTCGGAAAGGCCCCAAGAAAGTGTGCCTGGAGCTGCAGCCTTAGAATTTACGGAACACACTCTAGTTGCCATCAACTAGGGCTGCCACCTCTTTCCACAACGTTCTTCCCTTTAGGTCAGGCAGCTGAGGAGGGCCTTCGGCATTTTGGGGATGCAGCTAAGGGCACAGTGAGTTGGAGATACGTTCAGTCGGATGCATTATGTTTGCAATTACTTCTTGTACACTTATCCCCAGCACCTCAGGGCAGGGAGGGCTTCTAGAACACTGGTGTCACCCACCCTGCCTGCCCACGGCTGCACGAAACAACAGTGCAGGCCTGGGGTTCTGCGACAACCTTACAGATCCAGCGGTGCCGGGCACGGGGAGCGTGGGGGCTATGGGAGAGAAACAAGGTCTGAAATGTGGGGAGCCAGATGCTCCTGTGTGGGAAAATCATCATCAGATGTGTTACACTGTTAAGTGGCCAAAATTGCAGTTCTTGTCAGAAAAATAACTTATTGTACTAGTATTTTTTTTAATTTTTTTGAATGGAATTGTACAAAATAGAATTTACCAGAACCTGTGCTTCTCTGACACACGAACCTGTAGCTGTATTAGAAACAGCAAACGTACGTTATGTATATGTGGAATCACGTTCTATGCATCCTAACTATCAAAAAATATTTGGTCAACTATGCTAGAGGGATCACTGAACTCTTTCTCTTCTCTCTCCCATGAAGAGGTGATCTGAAAATACACAAGCCGCTGATGAACAAACAGGCTATTTAGTGATGTTTTTATTATCAGCTTTTTCAAATGTAGCACTTTTCCTCATTCTAAATACTTTCCAATTATTGTAACATTGTATTCTTTTTAAAAAAAAAAAAAAAAGATTTATTTAGGGGATCCATGGGTGGCTTGGCAGTTTAGCTCCTGCCTTCCGCCCAGGTCATGATCCCGAGGTCCTGGGATCGAGTCCCACAGCAGGCTCCATGCCTAAGTCTCTCTGTGTCTCATGAATAGAGTCCTTAAAAAAAATTATTTATTTAAGAGACAGAGAGCATGTGAGGGAGCAGGGGGGAGGGGGAGAGTCAGAGCCCAACTCAGGGGTCGACCTCCTGACCCTGAGATCACAACCTGGGCCGAACGCCCAAGCCCCCAAGCCGTATTCTTTTTCTTAATGAGACTCCCTCCCCCCAGCTGCATAAGCTTCAGGCGCTATAAAAGCTGGCACCTGCCCTTGCTCCAAATGAAATCTGACTAATTTACAAACATTTCTTGAGCACCTACTCAGTATCAAAAAAGTCTAAGTATGTAAGAACATGGGAGTCTAGGGGCAAGAAGCCTCCTAGTCACAGTGGGAGAGGACAGAAGTGTGTTCAATGGGGGCGGCACCACTGAGAAAGGACAGTGGGGCTGGCAGACAGGAATCTGGGGGGTGGCAGGAGACGGAGAAGGCCTCCACAGCAGGGCATCTGGGTCAGGCCTCAAGAGGGTCCTGCTGCGCCCCGCAACAGCCACAGGGTCGCACAGGTCGCGCTGCTAGGAGGCCACGCCACGCCCACATCGTCTCATTTAGCCCTCAGGACCCCCGTCGTCGCGTATATCCAGGAACTCAGGCTCAGAAAGGTTAGTGACTTGCTGATGCGCACGCAGCTCTGCAAGGGGCCTCAACCCGACGCCGAGTCCGCGGTGTGCGGTCTCCTCCCGCCGTAGGCACCCTGCAAGCCAACCGGGGAGCTCTGCGTCCGTCTACCTGGAGTGGATGAACCCATTGCAATCCGCGGATGCTCTGGACACACAGACCTCAGAGCACAACCCAAGTGACCTCGGCTGCACAAACTTCACAGCGGGGTCTTCCGGCATGCTCACCGCCGCTGCTGCGTGCGCGATGCTCACCACCCTCTGAGTGAAAGGGGCAGCTGGTCAGCTGACAAGAAAGTGGGTAAAGGAACAACAGGGACAAACTGAAAAGGCAAGGAGCAGAAAGAGAACTGACTACTGAGGGGGAGTGGTGACCAGAAGCCACAACGTGTGGACAGAAGGAACGATGCCCGCCTCAGTCTTCACTTTGTCAATCAGGTCCTATCCTTCCCCAAAGCAGCAGGACCCTCTTACGTCCTGCTGCTCCGCCCCACTGTCCACTCAGGTTATCCTTCCGCCTGAGGACACACGGGCTAAGGGCAGGTAAGCACCTGCTGTGTACCAGAGTCTGAGGAGCAGCTCACCTACAGGCGCGGAGCCCTCGCAACAACCATGCGCCGGAGCTGAATTTTAACCCCATTTTATTGACAAGGAACAGAGATGACTGAACGTATCACACACACTTCCTTTTTTGGGAAACAAATTAGGACAGAAGGACCCTGAAGCCCACTCTGAAAGGACGGTCACACACACCAACGCGCCCGCAGACTTGCGCAGTTTGGAACCTGCGCGTCTGCATCCGGTCCGGAGGCCGAGTGCAAACCACACAGTGGGAATCTGCAATAAGGCGCGGGCACGGCAGCGGCACGGCCAGGGCGCGGGCCAGGGCGCGATCCTAAACGGGTCTCTCCACCTCCTCTGCTCCCGCGCGGGGCTATGCGACCGGCCAGGTCTCCCTCTAGACCGTCAGGGAGAGGGCCAATGGCATAACCAGCGTGAAGGCTTCACAGGCCTTCGCACACAGTTCTCTCTCTCGTGCAGGAACTCACAGGAATTTCAAAAAACAGCAGATGCAGAAAATTAAAATCCCATTTGGTCTACAAGTAAAGGTCAGTCCACGCCGCCTACCTCGAACGTCCTGCCCCGTCTCTCTGGCAGAGAGAAAATCTGTGTTGTCCGCCCTGACGCAGTCGGCGCAAAACCAGCGCTCTACCCCGATGCCCCTGACGGTCACCAAACGTGTCCACGTGGTCCAGCAGAAGCGCCCGTGGAAACGTGGAAACAAACGAAGAAAGCAAAACCAGCCTTTAAGGATTCAGCCCCGGGTTTTAAATCTTCCATCCTCTTCTCACCCTAGGTGCTGACACTACTTCCTTCCACGCATAACTAAATGTCTGTTTTCCCAGCCATTACTGCCCAGCACGCCGGGGGGGGCCCGGGGAAGGCGACCCGCGACCTGGGGACGTGCACTCCCTGGGCCATGCTCTGCTCCCCGCTTTCCTCCGGACGCCTCCCCCAGGCCTTAGCAACATTCCTAGACCTCAGTGCCCTAAAAACATGGGCACCTAATGTCTAGTTCCCACCTGTAAGACACGCTGTGAGGAAGGCCGAGAGGCTGGGGTCACAGCCAGCCCGAGCTTCCACCTGTGACTCTGCCAGGGCTGACCCTCCTCTACCCCCTCCTTACTCCAGAGGCCCCAAGGGACCCTCCCCTGCACCCCGGCCCCTCACCACCCCTGCCCCGGCTGCCCCCCCCACCTCAGGGGCCGACTCTCCCCTACACCCCCCAACCCTCCCCTACTCCCCCTCCCCTGCTCCCCCTTACCCCCTCCTCCCCCCTCGATGACCCTCCCCTACTCCCCCTGCCCCTCCCCCCACTCTCCCCTACTCCCCCCCTCCCGCTGACCCTCCCCTACTCCCCCCTGCCCCCTCCCCCCACTCTCCCCTACTCCCCCCTTCTCCCCCCTGCCCCCTCCCCCCTCCCCCCCCCTCCCGCCGACCCTCCAAGGCCTCCGCGCAGGATCCCGCCCGCCCCGGGCCTCCACGCGGCCGCCGGCTCCGCAGCCCCGGGCCCTCCTCGCACGGGGCCCGCCGACCGCAAGGCCTCCGGAGCCCGGGCCCGGAATCCGCCGGCGGACCGCGCGCGTCCCGAGCCCCCGCCCCGCCGCCCCGCCGCCCCGCCCGCGCCCCGCGTCCTCACCCGCCGGCCCGGCCCTCGCCGTCGCGCCGCGGCCTCCGGGGCCCGCCCGCTCCGCCGCTCCCCGCCGCGCCCGACTGCCCGCGGCCGCCTCCGCGCCTGGCCCCGCCCCGCGCCGTGCGCCCCGCCTGGCCCCGCCCCCGCCTCCGCGGACGCGCCTCCGATTGGTCGGCGGGCCTCCGGGCGGGGCCGCCACGGCCCGCGGGGTCCTGATTGGCCGACGGGCGGGGCGGGGCGGGGCGAGGGGCTTCGGCGGAGTCGAATGCAAACCAGCCGGGCTCGCCTCGCGGGGCGGAGCCCAGTCCTGGGGGCGGGGCCTCGGCTCCTCCCTCCGGCTCCGCCTCCGCCCAGCCGCCCCCGCCCCCCCCCCGAGCGCTCCCGGGGCCGCCGAGTCTAGCCTCGGCCGCGGCCGCCGACGCCCCAACCAGGCCCCGCGGAGGCCCCGGGGAGGCCCGGAGGAGGCGGTGCCGCGGTGGAGGGTGGAGACCGGCCCCTGGGGGGGGGGGTCGCCCTTTAGCTCACGACTCCTGGGCCCCTAGGCCCGCGACCACGGGGGCACACACCCCTTCCTCCAAGGACTCAGCGAACTCCTACACATCCTTCAAGACCCTTCTCAACTTGCCCTCAGGGCCAGATCTGGAGGCCGGAGAATTGGCGGTCCGCAGGCACAAGGGGACCGGGGCTCAGCTCCACCTCCTGTCCCCTTGTCCCCCACCACTCCCTTGAGACCCTTCCTCTGACTGGCCCCCAGCCCCATGAGCCCAGGGGGCTGTCCTGCCGCCCCCAGTGGGGCACACACACGTCTCCGGGCTGGACCCCGCCCCCCAAAGGTGTGCAGGGCTGCTGGGGGCGAGGAGAGCCCCGTCAGGGGGGAGGGACTCCCTGGAGGCTGCAGGGCCCCCACTGGCACCAACTAGGAGAGTACAGGCTGCGAGACCGGAGAGGGTGGTTCAGGAAGCACTGGCGGGGGCAGCCAAAGGGCCATCCAGCCACGGACACCAGGTTAGCGGTCCAGGCATACAGCATGTCCCCTCCTAAGTCGTAGAGCGCTTGTATCCCTCTTCTTAGAAGTGATTTCCGAGATCTTTTCCAGGCGATGGGTGCAGCTATTCCTACATCTATTCCAGTCGTTTATGCTTCTAGGTGTTTAGTAGTTACTGCTACGGTGAACAAGATCCCTCTTCCTGCTCCATTCTCTAATTTGTGAGCAGGCATCACTGAACTCTGACTAGTGCTAATTTTTAGCACACGTCTCACTTTAAGTAGACGGTCCGATCCCCGCATTTCTCCCTAGGCTTTATGGCTCTCTTCTGGGCTGGGATCGCCAATGCAAAGTTGGGTACTGAGGTTATTGGTGCAAATAATCCCTCCTGATTTCAGGCACAGTTGTTCTGCAGGGCTTTGAACCTTTCCCAGAAGATTTCACACCCTCATAAAGAACCAACAACTATCCACTTAATAGCCAAACAATAGTGCTTTATTGATAAAAGGTTAGTTTCAGTGAATACAAAATCATTGTGTAAAGTAAGTTTTCAAAATACGTTTCTATAAGTAAAGGTGATCTCTTAGTAAAAGCAATTATCAGTAAAAGTATTTATTTAGATTTGGGCAGGAAAACAAAGGGGGATTTAGAAGTGAGACAGTGTGGGTCCACCCACCCCCGCACTATGCTTACCGGGTGGCAGCTGGCCCTAGTAGTTTTACTCAAACACACACAGGGCCTTTTACGAGTGTACTTTAAGGCAAAATAACCCAACAACTGGCCTTGTACGGAGGTGCTCTAACGTCAGCGAACACTTCCTCCTGTTAGAACTTTGTACACCTGTGCCTAAGCCTAAGGCTGGTGCAACAGTGAGAAGACGAAGTTCCTGGGACACCTGATTGCTGTCTGTAGCCCACCTCCGTGACAAACGTTTCGACCATGTCACTTTATTTTGTCTGACTCAAACAAAAACTCTTCCCATCCTCGGGGGGAGACGGGGTGTTTTCTGCATCTCTATTCCTCCTGTTAGAGCAAACTGAAAACACCGCCAGCACCTGCTCCCTTCAGCTCTCCTTTCACCCATCACTTTCTGGGGACCACTTTCCCACTGTCAGTATAAATGCTGAAAATAACAAGCCCTGGGGCCTCAGTGCCCCTTGGACGGAAGGGGAGGGCCAAGGGCACAGAGCACAGAAGACAGGTCTGATGGGTGGCGTCTAAGCAGTTGGACCATGGGGCAGATTTGAAAGGTCTCTTAGTTTCACCTGGCAGATGGGCAGGTTTGTAGGACATATAGGGAAGGACACGATGATGGCTAAAAACGGACAACAGTTTCCATATAAAATGATCGCTATTTGCCTCCTTTCAGAAAACTATTAAAAATTTTAAAGAACCAGTAAAAGGAAAGCCAAATCAGGAAAACCTGGTTGGCACTCAGGCATCATGGGGCCACGAGCCTCAGGCCAGGTCTGGGTTCAGAGGGCTTTCCACCAAGGACCCCGACGCTCACGGCTCAGGAAGATCTCGTACACCTGTAGTTACAGAAAGCACATCAGAGTGCTGTAAAAAAAAGCATAAAAAAGCTGGTTTCTAAATTTTCCTTTAAAAAGTAACTTTTCATGTTAGTTGAGTAAAAATCGTCTATTGGCGCTCTCTGTATGGGTAAGAACGTTGTAATATGAAAACTGGAGTTCACAGACTCTTGCTGTCCACGGCAGAGTATAACCAGCATCAGTGGGGAACGCGACAAAACGTGGTTTGCCGCAGGTTCTCTGCAGAGCAGTTTAAAAAATGACCTAGCATCAGAATCCAGAGACCTCTTAAAGTTTGAAGCAAACCGCCGGTTTTTAAAAGAGCTATTTTAGTATACACATACCATATTAGATAATTCTATTGTTTTACTTGGTAAAAAAGTAAGTGTGCAGGAGTTAACAGTATTGGATTATAGCAGCAAAACTGGTTTCAGATGTGCTCAAAGCAAAGCAAAGCAAGAGAGAATCTCCATGTTGGTGACCTGGTAAGTAAATGCCCTGCAGACGCCAGCTCACCTCTCTCTATCACTGGGGCCACATCACTAGCACCCAGGCACATGCTGGCTAAATCTGAATGTTCTAGAAATGAAATCAAGAGTGCTCCTCGACAATTATTCAGTTAGGCCAGCCAAATCAAAGAAATTCAATGTTAATTATACATACGGACTGATCCTGGAAATCAGTTCCAAAATCAGTGGTTAGTTAAGGTGGAAGAAAAATGAAAATGGAAGGTTCACCTCACAAAATATAAAGTATGACAAAGCAATGAAATAGAAATGTTAAAAGTACTTCATACAAAACACATCGAAAGTTTAAAAAAAAATTAAATTCTCAGGCACAGGTACTGTAAAATGTGGATAGGCACCCCCCCTCCAATGATCTCTCGAAACACGCAGTCGTGGTACTCATGCGGAATGTTCTCTGTATCTTCTGTATCTTGCAAAGTGTCTTCTGGAAAAGCAAAACACAACATAGTTCAATGGAAGTGGCGCAACAATGCTCACTGCTAAGACCATTAACAGCAGTGTTCTCTGTATTAAACAAAGGGCACACAGAGCAGAAGGTTGGCTCCTGTGACCAGAATTATTAAAATCTAAAAGTCATTTATGAGGCTCTTGGGAACCAGAGTACCAGCAAATTGCAGAATATGCAAAAAAAAAATAACTTCATTGTATCTACCTAAAGTGGAATCTTCATAATTTCAGGGTTGAAGTTTTCAAAAGAGAAGCAGTGAGATCAGAGAAAATGAGCAAACATCTGTCACTCCCTCCTGCCTCAAAGGAGCCCCACTGCTCAGGAGTCCTGTCTCTTTCTAATTCACCAGCCTTTCCCTGCCAGGCGCCTAATCTGCCCCTGCAGAATCAGCCTCATGGGATCAGGAGGTACTGACATTTCACCAGTTATATGAGTACAGGCAAATAATTTCACACCCAGACACACCATAGCGTCCTCATTAGTGCCGTGTGGACTCAGCACACAATCATCAGGACTGCTCTAAGGTGTTCACATGATGCTGAAAGTAAACCATGAACACTAGCCTGGGTGGGAGGTTACGTGGACACTTCTGTTCCAGTAACTACTGGTGACACGGAACGTTATGTATTTGAAACCTTTCCCCATAAGCCACAAGGGCAGGGGCTTTGTTTGGGCGGCCAACGCTCCCAGCACAGCCCTGCAGATCCTTCCTCTACCCTCGTGTGTCTGTATGGTGCACTCCTGACAGATGCTCCAGGCTCCTTACCCTCTGTCTCCTCGATCCTGCCCTGTGGCAGCTAAGCCCCAGCTCACTCATGTCCCCATGCCACCTTCCTCCTTTTACAAACATTCTCCTGCCTTTAGGACCAGGCCCCCGCCTGTAGTGGGCTCTGCACCTGCACCCCCAGCTCCCCGGCCCCAGATCTGTGCCTGTGGCCAGTACCGCCTTGGTC